CTTTCTGGGGTGGGGAGGGGAGGGGAGGGAGGGGAAGGGAGGTGGGTGGGTGGAAACAAAAGAAGCAGCTGCCTTCAAACTGTCGTGTCTACGTTTCTGCAGAAGGCTAATAATAATAAAAACTTGGATTACATTTCTGGCTTAAATGAAAGCGAATGAATGCAATATGATACATGCACTCAAGTACATATCATATTCAAAGAAAAATAAACTGAAAAGGAATCTGAGCTTTTATTTAGGGCGCAACTGTGAAGAATGAAGAGAAGATACGTGCGTTGGCTGGAATGAGAGGGGAGAGATGATGTTCTTCTTAGGTTACGTCTGCATCAGTCAAAAAAGAGATGGTTGGGGTGAGAGAACCTGCTGAGACAACTCATTATTTGGGCTAGAGTTCACTATTAATTACCTGGGCGTGACATAAACATTATGTTGAAGCTGCAGCAATGCTTTGATATGAGATGAGCCACACTCCAGAGGAAGGGGTTAATCCTACAATTTTATGAATGGGGTGCCAATCAAATGTCTCGCCAGAGTCCATTGGAATTAGCATCTAGTCCCTGTGAAGACCTATTTTACGCAAAGGCAGCCCATGTTATTTAAAACCCTGACTAGCTACAAATGAGCCAGGGCACTTAGTTCATGCAGCCTGAGTGGCTAAAAACTTCATCCCTTGTCCGTTTAGCATGATGTCCGAATTTGAATCCGGCTTGTCTCTCTCCTGACAAGCTTGTCCAATGTGGTGCCTCAGCCCAGAATTCTTGCTTGTCCCTCTCCCAACAAACTTGTCTAATTTGCTGTCTGAACCTGGAACTCTGGCTTGTCTCTCCCCCAGGTATCTCCCGTAGTGGCAGCCAGAATGATGAAGTCATGTGGACTAGCAGCCTGGCACATTTGGGATAACCCAGGGTCTAAAAAGCAAGCGAGTGAGCGAGATGCATTGTTACTGCATGTGAACTCGGCCAAAAGAATCAGCAGGTGCAGCAGGATTAGGTTCGCTATAAGGGATTCAGGGGCGAACCAACATGTTTGCATGCATGAAGCGATGAACGCAATCCTAGATTTTTCCACTTTAAAAAATGGACAACATGGCTGGAAAAGAACTCCAGGCAGGAGCCTCTGGCAGAGTAGCCACTACAAGGCTACAAAGGACCCATAGCCTTGCTTGGTCTCAGGCAATGGGGAGATTCAGCAAAGTCACTGAGGGCAGGCCTAGCAACATGCAAGCTAAAACTAATCTCCACAGCCAGGAAGTGATGTGGGTTTCCTGTATCAAATTAGGCTCATTTGCATAGGCTTCATTGCACCTGAAATGTTTCAGTTTATATCATATATATTTTAGGTTGCCCTAGGGAGTGCTTAATTGAGTGTATTTATTCTCATGTTTAGCAACCCACAAATTAAAAATTGCCTCTATGTTAACTTTTTTTTCCCAATGCACCACAATTTTTTGAGCTCAATATTTCCCCAACGTGGTACACTCCAGAAGTATTAGACTACAATTCCCATCCTTCTTGGTCAGCATGGCTGAGGATGCTGGGAGCATTTGACCTGAAATATTTGATGGGGGTAAAAATAAAGCACAGTTAGGGTGTAGTCCT